GAGTGAAACTCCAGGAACAAAGGTTTTCTTAGTATGCAGATGAAGTTTGTTAGGTAATCGCCTCAGATTCCCCTCTGAAAGTAGATGATCTTCTGTCTGAGTGACTACTTTCCATGTCTCTTCTCAGGTGGCTAATCTTTCCTGGTTATTTGATGAGATTCCTAGGGAGGGGGGGGTTGAGAAAATTATAATTCTCTTGGAAAGAAATTTGCTCTGTCATTTAAGTACATTCTAGAGAGTTTCTCCCTGTACTTAGGGAAGGGAGAGAACAAGACAAAGTTTAAAGGGGTCTTGGTTCTGGGGCTCTTTCTTGAACTTAGCATGTCAAAGTGCTGGTCTTTGGGTAACATTTTCTGAGCCCTAACAATAGGAGATCTCGAAGTCTTTTATTAAAATACTTATTTGTTTATTTATTTTTTATTGCCAGAAGGTTCATATGCTAGAAAGAAAGACAGAGAGAGAGTGTACCCTCCAATGGGGCATGATCACATCACGAGATTTTTCCTATTTTTCCTTCTTTTCTCCTACCCGTCAGGATTGGGGTATGCACCTGGCGTGTTTTGCAAGTCTCTAGGGCTGGGACTTAAACTGCTATTGGCCATGAGGGATCTAGCTCCCTACACAGGGCTTAATCACTGTGCTATGGGGCCAGCCCTTTACGTCTTGATTGTGGTAGAAGCTACAGTACCGTATACGTTTGTCACAACCCATTGAACTGCACCCTGAACATGGGTTGATTTAAAAATATTTATGAATGAACCTTTTTTTTTTTTTTTTTGGAGAGGTTTTTGCTATAGGGCGCACACACTCACCAGAAAGACAGAGAAAGAGAGACAGAAAGTGAGAAATCACCTACTGGGGGGACGGCTACACCACAATCCCTTCTCCTCCATTCTCCTCTTAAGATCTTGGATATGCACACACACACATCCGGCATTAGTTTAAGCCACTGGGTCTGGGACTCAAACTGCAGTTGACTACATAGGAGTCCAGCAACATAGCCATTACACCAACTGTTGGTCCCATGAATAGACCTTTTATTTGCAAAAGAATATATATCCATTGTAGGAAATGAAAACAAAATGAAAAAATAAAAAGGGCCCCAAAGAAAAACATTAGAATCACCCATAATGTAGAAGTATATCCTTGTATCATCCTTATAATAGAATTGGGATTACACGGGCCATTTTTTAAAATCTATTTTGAGCCATTATGCCAACTGCTGGTCTCGAAATGTTATGCAAGGAATCTTGACATAGGAGTTAGAGCCCGTTTTTAGGTCGATAGGGTGAGGATCTCAACATGGAGTCACTGTGGTTAATTTCAAAATGGAGTTGTAGTAGGTTGTTCTTTCTACAGCCAGGTAAATACACATTCCACATCCCCTTACCTGCCTTGGTTGGTATTTGACTCCTTGCCACTGGGTTAAATTTTATAAAAACTAGTTAAAAATAACAAAGAGCCACCTGCCCTAACACTCCCTTTAGGAAGTAAAGGTTAACCCAAGGTCCTAGGCTTCATGGAACAAAGTCTAAGGCCGATGCTGATAAAATTCTCCCAAGAAATGTTGGTGAACAGACATTCTTGAGCAAGGCTGTATATAACTAGGACATTTTGGCACCCTGTGACAACCCACCTTGGGGCCCCTCCCTGCCTGTTTGGGTACTTTGTCTCTTATCTTTTGTATAATAAACTCTGCTTTTAGTGCTCTTTCATTTGTTGGTACCTCTATGTCTTCACTAGCCTAAGACAAGAACCTAGTCATCTCATGGCCCAGAATCCAGCACAGGTCTTGGGCCTGATCACCCCAGAAATTCCATATCAATATGACTGAACTTCTGAAAAGTTTTATAATCTGCTTCCAAACACACTACAAAAGCAAAGGGCTTCAAGATCACACTGAGTAATCAACAGACTGAGGGCACAGCCTCACAAGACAGTGGGTTCATAGTAAAACCACGTTGAAGAACAATCCTCAAGTCCATAGAGAAGTTCCACGCATTTGCTCTGTAGAGGACAAACATATTAATTTTCTCTCTACCCTTCTGAGTTCTTAGTCAGACCAGATTCCAGAACACAAGACAGATAAAGAAGACAAATACCAATTCATTAGCGTGTATAATTATATATACAAGGAAGATACCCAGGAGTATGAGTGAATCTCAAAGAGATGATTTAGGCAACACCCTGGTGGTAGCCAACCAAACCGCAGTGCTGGAAGTCACATGGCCAACTGCAAGCTCAGATCAGCTGAACTTGCTGATCTGGTCAGCTTGAAAACATCCTCGATGCTGTACACATGCCCAAGATCCTGACAAGCTAAGGGCCAGCGAAAGGAGATTGTAGTGTGAAAACACCCTGTCAAGGTTCACCTTTCTGTCAAGTTCATCTCTGTGTGTGTGTATGTGCCCTCTTTCATGAATAAAAATAATCTTAAAAAAATGAGAAAAGGTGGTTTAGGTTCAGGTTTAAATACCATCTTCAGTTTAATGACATAATTCTTTTTTTTTTTTTTGAGAGTTTTTTGTTATAGGGTGCATGCACTCACCAGAAAGAGAGAGAGAGACAGAAAGACAGAAAGCAAGAAATCACACACCCCCAGAGGGAATGGCCATGCCATAATCCCTTGTCCTCCATTCTCCTCTCTAGATCTTGGGCGTGCTCGCACATGCGCCCAGCTTGAGTGTAAGCCACCAGCTCCAGGACTACAAACCATGGTCCACTACGTGGGAATCCAGCAACATAAACATTACGCCATCTGCTGATCCTTTGAGGACATTAATTCTGACTGCTTTTTCCTATTCCCAGGTTGTTTCCAGGAAGCCTGGGAGAGTCATGTCTACAAACATTAACAGATCGTTTAGGTCCATTGACAGTGGGGTGCTGCATCCTGTCCCAGGCACAGTAATTTTATGATGCATGAAAAACCTTCTAGTCTCTTAACGTAAAGTACAGACATCCTTTTGCTTATTTCTTTCAGCAACAGAGACTTGAGAGGTTTTTTTTCTTTTTTTAACCAATTACAAAGAATTAAACAATTACTAACCAATTTAACCAATTACTAAGCACGTCAAACTCACCTCCAACCTAAAAGCCTCTCTTCAGATGTCTGGCTGTTTGGGGCCAGATGTGAAAGACTCCTTATGCCAATGGACTATGCCCCAGCTCTCAAAATTATTGATATATAAAAGGAACCACCACTTTTTGGGGCCAGATGTGAAAGACTCTTTATGCCAATGGACAATGCCCCAGTTCTCAAAATTATTGATATATAAAAGGAACCACTGTATCTCCACTCCCCAAGAAGCATTTCTGTCTTTCTCCAGGTCAGGTCACTCAATCTCGTGCTTAGTAATAAACTGCATTAATTATTGTTTCTTCAGAGTTGGTTATTTCTATCGACAAGTTGAAACAAGGAAGGGTGTGGGGATGAGCTGGACAGTGGTGCGGCGGTGGAACTTGACACTCTGTGTGGTTTACCCACATGGGAAGGTTCCAGCTTCACATCCAGAGGCTGCTCTGGGTACCCCACACATGTGCATGGCTGTGATCTGGGGCTAGTTCAGGCTAGGGGTGCATCACTGCAAAGGATCACTATTGGAGTGCTGCCCATCTGTCTATTTCTCTCTCTCATTCATGAAAGAAATAGATAACTTAAATAAAAAATAAAAAAGAGAGGTGCAGGAAGAGGCTAGTTATGGGTGTGACCAGGAAAAGCACAGGAAAGGAAGATGAGGTGTGTGATGACGATTTAAGACCATACGTGAGTCTCTAATCGTTTAGTCATCTTTCTCTTCCTGACACAGAGGGAGGCACCCCTGCATGTGGAGATTTCCCTAACAAAAGGATAACTTCGACTCTGTTTTCAGATCTCCTCTGTCTGCTATTTCTCCAAATAATCAGCGGGCCATATTTTCTGGAGGCATATTCTGGTCTCCCACAGTTATATTTTGGGGAGGCAGATTCTGGTTCTGGTCTCCTTTACCTGCTTGGCTAACATGTCAGTCTTATAGCATCATAGTCTCTCTCTCTCTATACACACACACACACACACACACACACACACATAATTTATATGTAAGTGAGATATTTGTTTACTTATTAACAAATGTGTCAGCACCATCGTATCATACGTAAATATACATATATATATAATTTAAACGTAAATGAGACATTTATTTACTAACAAATATGTCAGTACTATAGCATTATACTTAAACAACTCTCTCTATATACATATATATATGTCTCTGTGTGTTTTATTTGTATGTAAATGAGATATTTGTTTATTTACTAATAAATATGTCAGCACTATAGCATCATACTTAAACACACATATCTATTATTTACATGTAAATGAGACATGTGTTTATTTACTAACAAATATGTCACTATTGTAGTATTATACTTAAACACATCTCTCTATATATATGTTTTATTTATATGTAAATGAGATATTTGTTTATTTACTAACAAATATTTCAATCCTATAGTATCAAGCTTAAACACATGTCTCTCTCTCTCTCTCTCTCTCTCTCTATATATATATATATATATATATATGTTTTATTTTTATGTAAGTGAGACATTTGTATATGTCCTTTGCTAATATGTCAGTAACACAGCATCATACTTGAACGCATGCCCATATGTATATGTTTTATTTATATGTAGATGGGATATTGTTTATTTACCCAACTACAACACACTTATCCTTGGCATGGTAGGAAAGGGGGTAGAGACATTTTTGAACATGCTACCACGTTCTCAGTACACTCAGCTCCAGGACGTGAACTCTGCTTCTGCAGAACTGCATGTCTTGGCTGTGAATTATAGGGCATGGCCTCATTTGCACAGTCTCCACCTGGGATGAGTAACCTGAGAGTTTTCAATGACCAAGTATCAGCCCCCAGGTGAGCTGTTTGCATGTAGGGCTGGTTCTTCCCAGACGTCTGGATTCATTTCCTGTGGCTGCTGGGACAAATTACTACCAACTCGGGTGCCTTGAAACAACAGAAATTTATTCTCTCGTAGTCCTTGAGGCCAGAAGTCTGAAATCTGAAATCAAGGTGTTAGCGGGGCTGTGCATCTTCAGAGAGCCACAGAGGAGGACCTGCACCGTGTCTGTGTCCCGCCTTCTGGAGGTTGCTGGCAGTCCTCAGCACTCCTTGGCCTCCAGCTTCACCACTCTGATCTCTGCCTCTGTCTTCATGTGGCTGTCTTCCCTCTCTGTGTCTGCCTCTGTGCCTCTTGATTCCCTGCAAGAATGTCAGCCATACTAGATACGCCCAACCTACTCCAGCACAACCTCATCTAACTTGATGACATAGTCCAAGACCCTGTTTCCAAACAAGGTCGCATTCCTAGGTACCAGGGATTAGGTTTTCACTTACCTTTTTTGAAAGACACAATTTACCCATAACAACGACTTGGCTTTCTTTTTCCTGGTTAAGCCAGCTTTTCACAATTACTATTCATAGCCAAGAAACTGGATTATAAAACACATATTCAATGTAGATCCCCTCACCGATTGTATCCCTCGTTGGTTCTCAGGTGGAGGTAATTTTTCCCCCAGAGGGCAAGTTGTGATATCAAAAGATATTTTGGGCTGTTCATTATTGATTGGGGGTAGTTGTGGTGCTCCTGGCTTGCTAGTGGGGAGAGCCAGGAATACCGTTCGGCATCCTGCAAAGTGCAGAACACAAAAGGAGGCAGTCCAAAACATTAGCTCTTCCAAGGCTGAGAAACCCTGATCCGAAAGGAACCATCTCGTATTAGTTAGGACTTCGACCCATCTATCTGGAGCCCTAACAGATCTCCCACTTAATTTCATCCTGGCCTTACCCCAACTTACACATCTGAGTCATTACCATGATGATAAATGGTTGTACAGTTTTACTTGAGGGGATGGGTGAAAGCCAAGTGGAACCAGAAATGAGGAGCATCTACTTTAAACTGTGAATATTAATCACTGATGGGATCAGCAGTTAACGTAACAACTATGTCACTGAACTCTCATGAAGCTGACCGGGGTTCGAGACCCGGTGGCTTAAACTCACACTGGGCGCGTTTGCGTGCGTGCCCAAGATCCTGAGAGGAGAATGGAGGAGAAGGGATTGCGGCGTGGCTATCTCCCTGAGGGGTGATTTTTCACTTTCTGTTTCTCTGTCTCTCTCTTTCTGGCAAGCGCACACACCATATAGCAAATACACACACACACACACACACACACACACAAACAGAAACAAAACAAAACAAAAACCTCTCCAAAAATAAATTAATCACTGATTTTTGTTAACACTTGCAGCAAATAAAAACCAATAGTGATGGGAGCAGATGCAAAGCATGGGCCTCCCGCCACGTTGTGTCATTTTAAACAGTGCCACTTCATCTGGAATGATGCCACATTCTGTGAAGTGGGAGGCTGTGCCTGTCTGTTCACCATGGTGTTAGCGCTCCAAGTATGCCTGGCACACAGCAGGTGCTCAGCGAATCCTTGTCAGGTGAAGGAAGAAGTCCTGGGGAGAGGGCTGAGGAACATTCTAACTTCAGAGGCCTTACCTTCTCTCTACTACTCAAAGCCAACTCCATTTCCGGGATGTTGCGGAGATCATGTTTATGAGCGTGCATTGCGGCCATGTATGCAGATTATAGAGTGGAAGTGTGTGTGTTTGTGTGTATTTGTGAGGAGTGCACAGTATGACTCAGATCACTTATGCATATATATATAGAAACAATTATTAGGCCATCAGAAAAGTCACGACATATTTTTGCATAGAAAACCACAGAGATACCTCATGACTTTCTCGATGACCCAATATATAATGCTCTCTTTGTAAACATACCAAGAGAAGAGGGAAGAGGACATGAGGTAAAATTGTAAAGCCCTGGGCGCCGAGTCAGAGAGAGCCCAAGGAAAACTATCTGTGAAAATAAGACAACAATTATGAAGACAGGAGCTGGGGTGAGATGAGGAGGCTCAGGGGGCCACACCTGAGTGTTGGAGCCAAAGGCCATGCCGTGTCTTCTACCTCCCCATGCACACCTCCTCAGAGACGATCTCCCTTTTTCTGCCTGTCTTCTCCACGCTCTTTAACTTAGAAGGTAGGACTAGCTGTGGTGTGCCGCAGAGTGCAGTGCTCTGCAATGCTGGAAGCCATATGGAAGATCAGGGTTTGATTCCTGGGTCAACCTGTATACACCCTGTGTGCACACGTGCCGGTGATCCTGGCTGGGCAGATAGGCTGAGGATCATGGCACGTTGAGGGCTGTTGTCTCTCTCTCTTTTTCTCTCTATCTCTCAGAAGATAAAAGAAAGAGAGAGAGAGAGAGAGAGAGAGATCACTGATTTTTGTTAACACTTGCAGCAAATAAAAACCAATAGTGATGGGAGCAGATGCAAAGCATGGGCCTCCCGCCACGTTGTGTCATTTTAAACAGTGCCACTTCATCTGGAATGATGCCACATTCTGTGAAGTGGGAGGCTGTGCCTGTCTGTTCACCATGGTGTTAGCGCTCCAAGTATGCCTGGCACACAGCAGGTGCTCAGCGAATCCTTGTCAGGTGAAGGAAGAAGTCCTGGGGAGAGGGCTGAGGAACATTCTAACTTCAGAGGCCTTACCTTCTCTCTACTACTCAAAGCCAACTCCATTTCCGGGATGTTGCGGAGATCATGTTTATGAGCGTGCATTGCGGCCATGTATGCAGATTATAGAGTGGAAGTGTGTGTGTTTGTGTGTATTTGTGAGGAGTGCACAGTATGACTCAGATCACTTATGCATATATATAGAAACAATTATTAGGCCATCAGAAAAGTCACGACATATTTTTGCATAGAAAACCACAGAGATACCTCATGACTTTCTCGATGACCCAATATATAATGCTCTCTTTGTAAACATACCAAGAGAAGAGGGAAGAGGACATGAGGTAAAATTGTAAAGCCCTGGGCGCCGAGTCAGAGAGAGCCCAAGGAAAACTATCTGTGAAAATAAGACAACAATTATGAAGACAGGAGCTGGGGTGAGATGAGGAGGCTCAGGGGGCCACACCTGAGTGTTGGAGCCAAAGGCCATGCCGTGTCTTCTACCTCCCCATGCACACCTCCTCAGAGACGATCTCCCTTTTTCTGCCTGTCTTCTCCACGCTCTTTAACTTAGAAGGTAGGACTAGCTGTGGTGTGCCGCAGAGTGCAGTGCTCTGCAATGCTGGAAGCCATATGGAAGATCAGGGTTTGATTCCTGGGTCAACCTGTATACACCCTGTGTGCACACGTGCCGGTGATCCTGGCTGGGCAGATAGGCTGAGGATCATGGCACGTTGAGGGCTGTTGTCTCTCTCTCTTTTTCTCTCTATCTCTCAGAAGATAAAAGAAAGAGAGAGAGAGAAAGGAAGGAAAGGAGAGAAGAAAGAAGGGAGGAAGTAAAGAAAAAGAAATAAAGAGATAAATAAACTTTCCCCAAGAGCCATAGGGAGGGGAAGTTAGTGCCATAAAAGAGACTTGGGGGATCTTGAAGGCATTGCCTTTATTCCTAGGAATTCTTAGTTGCTCTTGGGTAAGTCTGACTACAGCAAAGTTCAACGTATAGAAAGAACTTTCCCACCATGCGGGAAGGCCTTTAACCTCAGGGTGTCTAAAGTAAAGATGGAATGAACCCCAGACACCATGTGTAGGAGACAGCTCCACTTCTCACGGCCCCTTCCAGGTGCCCCCACATGCTCCCCGGTGCATCTGTGCTCACTCCCTGTGAACTCCAGCTCACCCTCCATTGTGCATCGTCTTTTTCTACAGTTATAGACTGACCTCCCCTGGGAGTTCAGCGGCCTCTACCCTAGGGACATGGTGACAAATGGCTCTTGGCCCTCAACCTCTTGAGGGAATCCCGCACCATTGAGACTTCCGAACATCCCCCCACACTTAGACGCAGCAGGCTCCAGGGGCAGAGAGGCATATTATAGTTTGGGTAGATAATACAAACAATAACAATAAATATAATTCTAATTATGTGCTCACCACTGTTCTAAATAGTTTACATACATCAATCTAATAACTCTATGAGACAGATTACATCACCACCCATATTTGACAGATGAGGAAACTGAGGCAGATAGCAATTAAAGCCTTACTTGATATAGGGAGTAATTAAGTAGTAAAAAAGGATTTCATTAGTAAAAAAAAAAAAAAATTGCATACATTTTAAGTTTATTTATTTATTCTTTCCATGAGAGAGAGAGCGAGAACCCCAGTATGTTCTTCCTACCTCTATCCAGTCAGGATCATGGATAAACATGCATGGACTTAGCATGTACAAGGAGACATGTAAACCCAGGACCTATCTCCTCACACAACGTTTGCATGGTGGAGTATTGTGTCACCACTGTGCCACCGCGGATGGCCTAGATACATTTTTTTGTACATTTGTTTGAAAAGTTAATTCTTCATTTAAATGACTGTTTATCCAAAAAAGAAAGAAAGAAAAATAAAAAGATGTCTGAATTCCTAACAATTATTCCCTAACAAACTTTGAACCAAAGTCAACCTCTGGCCTCCATCCACTCGCCATGTTTGAAATAGTGGAAGCTTGGACTCCATAGGCCTTTCTCTTGGCCTTCGCGTTCCCTGCATAGCCAGCACTTCCTCCCTCACCTCCTCCATGTGTCCCATTGTTTCTGCAAGGACACTCTTCTGTAACTTTTTTTTTTAACTTCTTTTGCACTAGGATATCTCTTTGTGAGATCAGCTCCTTTGAAAGAGAAGAAGTTACCACAAAGTGTATCTGTAGACCAGCCCCAGTGGCGCAGTGGTAATGCGATCCTCTGCGATGCTGAGGCCACATGGGGAGGTCCCTGGTTCATGCCCTGACGTCTCCCTGTATAGCCAGCCATGCAGATGCCCCCATTCCTTGACTGGCTGAGCTAGGATCGTCAGATTCTGTTAGAGTTGCCTGTTTTTCTCTCTCTTCTCTCTTGGTCATTCTCTCTCATGGAAGAAGTAAATAAACTTAAAAAAAAAAAGAGAGAGAGAGAAAAGAATACCCTTCACATTTGCCAAAATGTTGAAATAAGAATTACTCAGGCTTTTTAAAAAAATAGTAAAGTGTAGGGACCAGCCAGGGGTGTGGTAGTTAAGGAAGCTGAATTCAACATGGCCAACTACACAGGTTAAGTCTCAGACCCACCCAGTGCTTGAGAAACACAACGGGCACATGTGCTTGTGTCCCCAAAATCCTGAGAGAAGAATGGAGGAGAAGGGATTTTA